TCCAAAATGTTTCAACAAAAACGGATTTCCAAAATTGTCAATTGCGACAAACCTTTCTCTATTATTGACTTCGCAAGGCACATAAAACGTACTTGTGCTCAAATTGCAAATATTTTTTCCACGCGACGTGCAGTTGATGCTTATTTTGTTGTCATATGCGGAAGGACAAAAAGTACATCCGGCTCTTTTTTGCTGTATGTTGCACTCAGTCCTACATAGGAGTTCGAGTCATTGCATGGTCTAGACAGTCGCGCAGAAATGACGACGGTAGCAGAGGACGCTATGCGTGTATAATATTCTCTTGTCTCTAGCAATGCGCAAAAGCATGAACTATATGCCCAATTCTACCAGCAACAATCTTCTTTTGAAGAGCTTGTTCTATTGCTATCCCGGATTTATTGCAGTCCACAGCGCATATGTGTTGTAGGCCGAGGTGTCCAACATATATCCAAAATAAATGTTACAAGGTAATGTAGGGCTCGCCCGCGTAGTAGGAGTTGTGATGGCATTACATCTGTTTCTTGCTGAAGAAGTCAACACCTCTTGAACATTATTAGCATGTGCTCGCTAACCTTTGAGTGCTGTGCATGTGCCACGTCAGGAAAACGTCTTATTAGGTTTTCTCCCTGTCATATGTAAAGTTCAGATTCCCATAGACAAAAAAGGGTTGATTCAATCGTGTATTTCATACCATCTCTGAAAAACATGAGAGACATGGCAAGGCAAACGCAGCAACAGAAAGACGGAGCGAAGAAAATGCTGCAAGAGGGTGTAATGCAACAAAAATTCACGCGGCGACCCGGATGGACTCTTGTAGCCGAAACCAGATTTAATCCGCACTTTCCCAGAACTGGCAGAACACTTGACTTTGAGAATCACTACATTTCTCAACAGCAAGTGCTCCGGAAGCTTGTTCCGAGAAGGTTCAAGATGGTGTAACACGTGCTGAAAATGCACTAGTATGTCATTCGGGTCAAATAGACCCGAGCATAACAAGAGGGGGTATTACAAATATTTCAGTAATGCCTCATGGAAAATGAGTTCGGCTTTGAGGCCGTAAATATATTCGACAAGTTAGAAAAAATAAAAAAAAGTAAGATTTTTTCCATGAAATGCATCGAAGTTACATCGGGATGAATGAGTGTTTCGGGTCAAATAGACCCGAACAGAATAGGTACCCTGCATACCAAAATACAGGTTTGGCTCTTTAACATACAAATGAGACAATTCGTACGAATTCGAAACTTTCGCATATCAGATGAAGGAGGGAAGATGCTTCCAATCCTCTTCGATCTCAAATTTCCCTTTTTAGTTCCCGAGTTTAATCTCTATTGGACTGACCCGACCCGCGGATCGGGCCAGCAGCTCGGTCCGGAATCGAGTTTCCTGTTAGGTGCAGGCGAGTACGTGTCAGAAGGATTTTTTGCAAAATAGTTCCGTCAGCGCTCGACGCGATCACGTCATTAACACGTTGACGACCAGCCTATTTTTGCTTGTCCGCCGCGCATTTTTTGTCAAAAAATGCGTCCTGCCATCAGGACGCATTGTCCCACGTGGCAAAAAAACCTGCGTCCTGGCATCAGGACGCATTGTCGCCAACGTGTTAAATGACGTCACTCTCCGGCAAGGAATTACCAGTGGAACGTAGTGAACTATGAGAGCGCCGAACAGGCCAACACCAATGTGACATCATGGGACGTCAGGTGGATGCCTCAGCAGAGCCGGTAGATCCGCTCTGAAAAAAGACGAACCCAGAGACCCAGAGTTCCGAAATTTAGAGGCCTAAGCGTTATTCTGAATGTTTCATGTACCTAAGTGGTCTGAATAAATATCAACAGTCGCTTTTTATGCCTGTTCTCATCGTAGTGTTGTACACATCGTATAATAGTACTACAGTCGTACATGGTAGCATCAGAATCGATACCACGCAGAATACTATTATGAGATTATTTCACCAACCAATCCACACGTGGTCCTTCGAGAACGTGGAGAAAAAAAAACAAGGAATGAGCTCTTTTGGCATTGGAAAGTCAGATGAAGCGTTAAAAAAAAAACCATGAAATATTCTCTGATAGTTCGATAGGAAAGCGCCCCTGGATTACCTAGAACGTTTCGATGCTTGCTGAGTTTCATACGGAAAAATATAATTTAAATCGAAAGAGGCCGGAGAGTAGAACTGAGAGCAGTTCTGCTCTCAGCGAGTCACCGGCGGCGAGTCTCTGATGGTTTGGGGAGCCTTCAGATGCGGCGGGAAGACTGACCTCGTGATCATCAACGGTCGCAACCCTTCCGGAAATGTCCTATAGGAAACCTATAGACTTTCCTATAAGTTTTTGAAACACGAGAAACCCATAGAAACCATAAAAACCCTTTAGGATCCCTATAGGTCTCATGACATATAGGATTCGGGGAGGATATTTTGGGCTTCGAAACCCAGGCATTACGATGGAAAAGGCGGCCGGGGTTTATATTGGCGCAGCAATTCGGTGTAAATAAGAAACGATTAGGGGTTTTCCCATGGTTGGGAGACTTGCATTATCAATACCGGTACTGCGAGGGGCTGCATAATTTATAGCCCGCCCCACACATGTCGCTGGATTGCACGCCTACTTCTTTCGGTAGAGAGAAGTAGTATTCTTCTCTCGACCTAAGGAAGTAGAAGACAGAACCTGCGAGCACGTCTCTTTACTGAAACCCCATTTGGATTGAGTCTACTCAGTTTCGTACGTGGTTTTCAAAAGGAATAATGGCATATTTCTTCACGCGACTCCATGATTCTATCTGGAAGATGGGGTTGACAAATAAGGAACTGTCGAAGTTCATTGATTGCTACAATGAGGCAAGGCGAGACATTTGGGGACGCACAAAACTCTCTTGTGAGAGACGATTCCTTGTGTAAGGGGAGGGCACTTTTGTGCCCTTTGAGAAATGTGAGAACCCAATACTTCCATCTAGTGGCCAAGAGGAGAACTTCAAACGGAACCCTATAGGCCTATAGGGTTCCGTATAACCCTATAGGGAACCCTATAGGTCCTATAGGGTTCCGTATAGTCACTATAGGGAACCCTATAGGTCCTATAGCGAACACTACAGGTCCTATAGGGAACACTATAGGTTTTATAGGGAACCCTACGGGTCCTATACCGAACCCTTTGGGTCCTATAGGGAACCGTATAGGTTCTATAGGGAACCCTATAGGTTCTATAGGGGGCTCTATAGGTTCTATAGGGGACTCTATAGGTCCCAAATTGAACTCTATGGGGCATATAGGAACCTATAGGATTCCTTTAGGTTCATTTAGGTTGAAGACATTTTCGTAAGGGAACAACTGGAATAAGTACCAGGAACTCGTAGGACCTCAGTTGGAAGCATTTGGAAGCGGATCGGAGGCGAAAACCGGATCTTCCAACAAGACAATGCGAGGTTCCATGTCTCAAAGTTCAGCCTGTGCTTCTTTTCAGAAAAAGGAGTGACTCTTCTTGAATGACCCGCTCTTAGCCCCGATTTGAACCCCATGGAGAACCATTGTGGAGACCTTGTCCGCTCCGTTTATACGAATGGCCGCCAGTTCGCAACTGTCGCCGAACTCCGGAACGCGGTTTTTGATGCCTAGGAGGAAGTGAACGCCGATCGTCTCAAGACCCTCATCGGATCCATGAGAGACCGTGTGTACGATTTCATCTCGAAAGGAGGGAGCAGAATAAAGTATTAGTCACATTTCTGAGGCAGCAGCAGGCCGTGATATTATATTGAGACACTTTTTGAGGTGTCATTTTCATGTATTTCCGTTTCCGTTTGAGCGATTTAGTCCAAGCATTGTACAATCTTTAGGTGTAGTCTGTACATGCTTCGTTTCAAATGTGAACCGAATTGCCTAAGGATTAAAGGAATTAGAGCCAAAACCTTATGCGTGATAATAATTTGAGACAGATTTCATGGTGAGAGTGTATTCGATTGAGGGAACGATGGGGCAACAATCCCAGGCAAAAATAACCCCAATCCATTTTTCATAATCCTCCTTTAAAACTATGGTCACTGGAAAACAATCCATAAAACTTAATTAGGGATATTTCTTTCTGGACGATGAGAAGGCTGCCTGTCCCTTATTCGAGGATCGTTATTCTTTCCTTAAACACATCAGACTCAGGGGTACCAGCTGCCTGAGATCGAGTCAAAGCCAAAAGGAGTCGCGCTACCTCCCTCGGTCGTGGTTATATTTTCGCGGGAGAAATGCCTCTTCCTAACCGTTGAAGCCACGGCTCCGGTGAGCGAGTGCTTGAAAGTTCAACTGTCACCACTGAGTGAAGGTCTTTCCTCCTCGACTGGTGTGGGAGACTCCTATTGAGTAAGAAATCGTCATATTCCGCATAGCGGAATCGACATCGGGCGAGTTCAGTCTGCAGGCCCATCTATCAGGAATGCTTCCGTCCGGAATGCTTCGGAAAAAAATGTAGCGTGCTTTATTTTGAGGTTTGCAAGTGAGGTGGAGTAGACATTCTCTGCCAAAAGAGATAGTCATGCGACACGTTGGGAAAGGAGTCACTCTACACACTGAAGGTGGTGATGAGCATGAATGGGCGAGTCGAATGGATGAGGAACTGTGGAGGATCTCAATATACGTGTAGATTGACCATTAGGCGAGTTATGACCCAAGGCCATGGCTCGGTATAAAATTTCTTACTGGACATGTTGATTCCAGATTATTTTAACGCGGTTGGCTTCATGGCAAAAAAACGGAGATCCTCATCAGGCCCAGGACCTAGGAAAGATTTGGATGGGGGAGAGGTCCTTCTCTAGGACTATAACAGTTTTCAGCTGAAGACCCGATGTCTTCAATACGCTTGGAATGTCGCTGTTGCTTCGAGAGCTTTTTTACAAGGAATTGCATGATTTCCAGCAAAGGCATTCCGAAATTTGGATAGATTGAACGTAGTACAAAAGGACATGCGTCTGCAACTTCCTATTCCTGAGTTCTGACAGACTTTGTGGAATTTGTCAAAATGGTTGTTAATTGACCTCAGTGTGTTGCTTCAACCCACTGATTTTTCTAACGATCAATCCAGTCCCTAAGTTTCTCCCATTCCCGTTTTCCATAAATAAAAAAGTTACGGAGCCGTAAATATTTTCATAAACTCGTTCGTGTTGAAAAATCACAATGCGTTATTTTCCTTGTGAAACCGATGGGAGCTAGGAATGAAGCAATTATATTCGAAACGGCGGAGATTCCCTGTAAATGGCTTTCATCCCAGCTGGATTATTCAGATCAATTCTTAAACCTGTTCCAAAATAGAGAAATAGGAGATCCATTGAAGTTACAATGCAGTGAAAAAGAAATGGTTTTACTCCAAGCAGAAGTTGTTGGAGCCGGAGAATTCAGAGATGTTGAGAAAAGTGGACATTCTTCCCCTTATCCAGCGTGCAGCAGATCTTCTGAAGAGGGTTATAATTATTGTTGGGGAAGATGAAGTCAGTTCTTGTGAGTTCCTCATTTCTTCTTGATCCCTTCCAATATACGAAAAGACCACATAATTAATTATTGAACTGTCTGAAGTCAATGGCTGATTTAAAGAATGAGGAGAGTTATGTAGCTGAGGCCATCTACCAATGCCGAAACTAGAAATTAGGTGTATGGACATTGCTGTATATTACCTTGTCTTATACTGTATAACACCACTAAACATATCTCTGTGTAAACATCACGAACAATAAATTAAGAGTGGGCCCAAATGTACTGATTTTGGACGATAGAAAAATTACTTATTCATTAATCAAATAAATATACCTAATTTCTCTAAATCAATTCATTCTCGATTTAATTTTTTCCTCTTCAGAATTCAGGTACAGTGGACATAAAAAGAGAAAAAATTATTATCAAGTGCAAGGGGTTGGATTTTATCCATTACTGGCAGAGGTACCGATGCAAGGGTGAATATTGTATGCATCCCATACTAGAGGGTTTAATATTGCTTTAATGCCTCTTTGACAAACCCGGCTAAATATTTTATAGGACTCACGTTTGAGGGCAGATTTTTGCTTAATTATTTATTCATTTTTCAAGCTCGGCTACCTTTAATATATATTTGCCCAAATCAAATAGAACCGCGAGGTGGTGGGGATTGCACCAGCCATTATTTAATTTATTTGACAAAACGTATTTGTTTATAAGTTCTTTGAGTTCTCTTCAACTCATTCTTATTCCCGTTTACTTATCTCATATATTCATCAACTTCTGTACTTTTTTTACTTAATGATTCTCAGGCCGACTAAAAGTCTAACATGCTATTGGGTTTCCGATTAAACCGCTAGTGTCTACACCTGTGAGGAGGTCAAAGTACAGCTTATATAAATAAGGAAATATTGAAAATTTCCCTTTTTATTACGTAGCTTTTACTATACAGCCAATAACAACATTCAAGTAGCTATCTGCATATTGCAAGTTATATTATTTAATGAGCCCCAAAATGTTGTCTCGTTTGGGCATCTGTAGTAGTGAATCGGCCTAGTCTGCACTAAATAAGGTGCATTTTGAAACGCCACCTAGTCGATGACCATCCCCGGACCAAATGCCATGCAAAGTTTGGTCGAACAGCGATTAGATGTGTGACCGTACATAAAGGACAGAGAAACAATTTGAAATATAGGTAGATTGACATGTCTTCGATAGATTATTCGCCTTGAAATGTGGAGAGTGCTATGCTGCGTGTGAAGTAAGAGTAAATGCAACATATCCACCATATCCCTAACAGGAAAGTAAAGAGATACATTGACATTTTCAAATGGAGCAAGCCTCTAAATAAAACGGTTGAGGATACCTACGAGCGAATGGAGTCCCTGTTTCAAAGAGCCTCTAAGAGAAAGCTTGCTTCAAAATATCCTTAAAAAATGGAATGTGGTCATAGAGGGAATTCATCGACTTATGGAGTAATCCAGGGGGAAAAAATCTTTGTCCAGCAGACCCTTACTGCTCAAAGTATGGCGAAAGTGATCTTCCAAGTAGAGCAGGCACTCCTGAGTCTCATGTGTTTAATGAAAAAAAAAGATCCCCGAGTAAAGGACAAACATTCTCATGGTCCAGAAAGAAATTCCCTTAGTTTAGTTTTATGGATTGTTTTCTAGGGACCTTCGTTCCAGAGGATGATTATGAAGAATGGATTGGGATCATATTTGCCTGGGATAGTTCCTCCGCCCAAGAATTGCCGAACATCGTGCCTCTTGTTCAAAATTTTAAGCATCAAACCTATCGACACAATCGTCTCGATCATCTAGATCGTTTCGATCGTCTCGATCGTCTCGATATTCTCAATCGTCTCAATCTTCTCAGTCGTAGCGATCGTCTCAATCTTCTTGATCGTCTCAATCGTCTTGATCTTCTCGATCTGAAAGGTATTTTTCTCCTTTTCTATCCCTTCCTCTTCCTTTCTCTCTCCTCTCTCTTTCCTTACTAATTTACTGTATTTTTTTATCCGCCAAAAAAGACATTGATCTCTATAGGCGTATACACACTCAACGAATATTGAAATATGACCACCCCCCTCCCAAGTGGTAGAAAGTGGACTGTGCCATTGAAATAAAAGCACGTAGGGGCGAATGCAGACACTAGTTGATGCGTGGTAGTGGGTACAGCTAGCATAAAATGTAAAATGTTAATAGAATGGGAAAAGGCCGGGATTTGACGGATTTTGAAAGAGGCGATATTAGGTAGAAGGTCATATTTCAATGACCGCTGAGTGTACAATCGGGTAAATCTTCACTTGATGGGGTACCGAGTTCAAAACCAGATGATAGGGTTTTGAACCCGGGTTATCGCTGTCGCTCCTCTGAAGTCTCCATAACTTTGATATCGGGGTAGATGACACTGACCCAGTATTTCGTCCGTCCTTCTGTAGCCACAGCTTTCGTCGAACTGCTGCACCACGTTCAATCTATTAGGTTTTTGCGAAAGAAATGGCCGACGTGTGACGGCAACTTCCGGACTTCATATCTCAGCTCAAAATAAGGTTTAATAATCGAAATAAGATCCATTAGAATTACTACATTTCTGCCAACGAATTACAAGATTATTCATACCAATTCGAAAGGATTCTAAATTTCCGGAATCTACAAACTGCTTGAAATAGTTTTCAACCACAGTCTGGTGGGAGTAAGTTGTCCATATGCTTCGGAAGATGTCTAGAAGAAGTGGTAGTCCGTAGGCGATAGGTCTGATGAATAAGGTGGACGAAGAAGAACTCCGTAGCCCAATTGGTTCAGTTTTTCATCGTGATCTGTGAAGTGTGTGGTCGAGCGTTGTCGTGAAGCTGTATTGGTCCCTTTCAGTTTACAAACGCCGGCTGTTTTTCGAAAAGTTTTCCTTGAGAAACGTTCAGTTCGCGACCATTTTTCTCTGCATGATGGTTTAGCCAGCTTTCAGGAAGTTGTAGTGGATCACACCTGCACATCTGCGGTACAATGGTGGCATCACATCTGCAGACCACCAAACAGTGACCATTATCATCTTAGGGTGGACACTTGGCTTAGGCATATGTTTAGGTGCTTCATCGTGGTCAAGCCACTCCACGGGCTGGACACATACCCATACGTACTGCTTAATCTTCTGCTTCAAAATCATATAAGATCACGATATAGTATGCACGTTCCTCCTGATGAAAACGCAAAATCTTCATGACAGTTGTTTGAGGTACATTCAGTGACACCTCATGATGTTCACGTGACAGTCGTCTTCTTGAAGCTAAAGGGTTACGTTCGATAGCTTCTCTGACATTTTCGACTGTTCCCTCAGGAACAGACGGACGACTTGAACGCTTTTCATCTGCTACACTTCCAGTCTTGTTACATTTCTTTACAAGAATGTGAATATTTGCATCCGAAGGTTTATGGAATTTCCATCAGAAAATTTCTCGGATCTCCTAATATGACTTTCTTTTTAAGTGTAAACTTACACCCTCAATCCTCACCTAAAGTGGTAACATCCTGTAAACATTTAAGTATGAATATACCTGAAATGAACAAGAAATTATTGATGAGTTATTATTTAAGAAATCTGGGTTTTTCAACAAAACAGATTGGGACTTTAAGATCAACCTGTACTTGAGAGGTTAAAGGTTCAATGACATCCACGTATCCCTCATGTTCATTAAAAATTGAAGAACTGGCAATGAAAACTGTGTTGTTATTTGGGATTTGAAAATGTGTAATTTTTGCATATTTCCAGCCATTATAACTCTTTGATTAAAATTTGGTGGCATACACATCACTGGATCTTTTCCCGCTGATTTCATGAACATATTATAGGTTTTCATGAACTGATTCATGTTTTGTAATTGTCTGAATATGCCGAAAATCGGAACATTTGAGTTTTCTTTTATTCATTATCGTCTGAAGAACAAAAGTATATGAATATATATCTTCGAAAATCTAACCTTTTCCGTGAACATAGGCATTTGATGCGTTGTTTTGGTCAAAACATTTCGCCTACGTAAGTATGAAGAGATGTCCCTTTCTTGAAGTTTTGCAAAACTCGACTATTTGTTGTGACAAGACGGCTCCATACCCGAAACCAAAATGTTGCACACTTACTTAGTTTTTCAACAAAACAGATTGGGACTTTAAGATCAACCTGTACTTGAGAGGTTAAAGGTTCAATGACATCCACGTATCCCTCATGTTCATTAAAAATTGAAGAACTGGCAATGAAAACTGTGTTGTTTTTTGGGATTTGAAAATGTGTAATTTTTGCATATTTACAGCCATTATAACTCTTTGATTGAAATTTGGTGGCATACACATCACTGGATCTTTTCCCGCTGATTTCATGAACATATTATAGGTTTTCATGAACGGTTTCATGTTTTGAAATTGTCTGAATATGCCGAAAATCGGAAAATTTGAGTTTTCTTTTATTCATTATCGTCTGAAGAACAAAAGTATGTGAATATATATCTTCGAAAATCTAACCTTTTCCGTGAACATAGGCATTTGATGCGTTGTTTTGGTCAAAACATTTCGCCTACGTAAGTATGAAGAGATGTCCCTTTCTTGAAGTTTTGCAAAACTCGACTATTTGTTGTGACAAGACGGCTCCATACCCGAAACCAAAATGTTGCACACTTACTTTGGGCTGTGAGAGTTGCCAATTAATCAAATTTTGTCATCCTTGGATGGTGTCACCGCCCGGTTTCTAGTTTATGAGATATGGATGACCTAGGAGGGGTATGCATGTTCATGTTCAAAAATGACGCATGAATCTAACACAAAGACTTCATAATATGGAGGAATGCCTCTTTTGCTCTCTCAAAGATAATCTTGAAATCTTGAAAAATCTCCACGAACCCCTAATCTTCATCCTTTTGCACCATATAATCCTTCTAAACATTTAAACAATCCCCAGAAATGTATATGAATAACGTTATCTTACCCCATTTCCCAACAGATATCTTACTTCCATATTTCAGAAAAATCCAAGGATGCCCTATGGATATCTACAAAGAACCTGCCCTCCTTATACAAAAAAGGCGTTGTCCTTCCATACGTGGAAAAAATTACCTTTCATGGGAAGATGCCCGTGACATTCCGCTTCCATGCTGTGCCATTATTGTGGCAAGTGGACCGAGTTATTGCGGGATTATCTCCTCTCAGCACAAGTGAGCGAAAAAAGCTTTATTCCCTCCAGTTCCTTATCCCTGTCTGAAAGGCATCCTCCAGGCAAGAAAGTCAGTGACATCATAACGGATGAGGGAAAATTTTCTAAATCGCTCTTGCTTATATAACTAAGAAAGGTGAAGCAAGAACTAATACTTCATCCATTATTCATCGAGACATCACAGTGTCATATCAGTGGCTACTCCATCTCTGAATTAACCGCAATATCTTCTGCTATTAGGGAGAATGGGGATCGTTGAGGGCGGTCAAGCGCTGTCACAGACTGCTTTTTTCTCCTTAAATTCATTTATAAATATGTTCTTTCCAAAGTCTTACAATTCTGTTTGTATTCGGGTTTCGTCCATGATACTTATATGATTAGCACAGACCCACAATGGTCGCATATTAATTCATGCCGTCAGATTGAAACAGGGCACATGGGCTCAATACCCTTACTTGCACAATACTTGCGCAATACGGGCATTTGGATAATATATCTGGGCATTAATGTATCCCTTGCCTTGAATTTCCTCGGAACTCAAGGTTATAAGTCACGGTGCATTATGTTTAAGTGCATCGAGTCCCACAGTAATGTAATCCGAATGGATTTCAATTCCATTCGGATTTGCCCTTATTTTTTTTCAGGTGAAAGAGAATTCCAGATTTCCCTCTTAAAATTCACTTAAATATATGAGGAAAACCACGAAAGGTTTTTTTTTCCAATCGCGGTTCTGCTGCTAATACATTTGATTGAAACAAGCGAGTGTGGCCATTATAGTGGAACGCCGCTGTCGGATACATAGCTGAGAAAAACATTACACATCGGCCAAACAATACGCACTTCGCAGTCTTCATGGCTAACGCACAGCCAGACGAAGAGGCTGAGGAACTTCTAAAAACTCCATAGAAAATTCTCGACTGAGAATGGATGGCTTTCTGATGGATGTCCACAATAATTTCCCCATTCTTAATACCATGCAACTCATAATCCGCCAAATTTCCTTTCCGCTTGCAGAGGAGCTGGTGAAACGCGCTTTGTGAGAGGGGGAAAACGTCTCCTTTCCAGGTATTTTAATTTCTTGCATGTATTTCCATCTACATTATCTCCTTTTTCCATGATTAAGGAAAGAGCCTAGCCGCTCGTGGCTAAGCTCTTTTCATCATGATGTCATCCATTTACAGCGCCAAGGCACAGAATCATTCTGCATTATACGATTATTGCAATGTGCTGGCAAAAGATTTGGAATAACAAGGAGAGCTCAGCTTCTATGAATTTTAAATTTAATTTTCACTCACCATGCCGGTTAAAATCTCCCCTAATATGTAGAATGCCTCTTCCAATAAAAAATTCAATCCGAGGCAGAACAACCCTCATAGCTCTTAGATGGAAGAGAAACCAGGTGCTTCAACAAATTCCTTTTTCATTATATTTCTACGTTACCATGATCTTCGTTTGGGAATAAATGGATGTCATGATTGGCACATCCGACTGCTGTCTGGTTTAGATCGTGGATGAACATCAGATGGTATGTTCTTACAAGCTTGAACTAAAGGAAACGGCAATCATGTCCTCAGCACCAGGAACGGTCTGCTTCGCCCTCTTTTCTCTCCTCGTGTTAAGGTTTTCTCGTAGGAGTCATTCTCTAATCAGATCTCAATCGTTCCTGGCGATCTGTAACACGAAAATTCTATATAATGTATTCTCATAAAATCTAAGCATCTTGCTCATTAATCTAACGGTACAGAAGCCGTTTCCTTGGTCGATGTTTGAAGAAAAAAACCGTGGCAATCGGTTTTAAAGATGGAAGGGCAGGTCTTTAATGCATTTATGTGTATGGGGATCTGAGTCCTATTCTATTGAGTCAATAAGAGAATTATAAGAAATCAGGCTGGACTGGATGAGTGGGTAATATAAATTTAAATATCCCTAGCGCGCCGAAAATTGAGACATCCACGGGCCAACCTTCAAATCTCTGCCGACGAGAAAGGCTTTGATTACTTCTATGATTGGATTACGACTATGAGACGCAGTGCAGTGGAGGGCCCTTTCTGTAAGAGTCAATTTCGTGAATGCTTTCGTGAAGCATACTTCGAAACATGTTTATAAAAACAAAGAGGTTTTATCCTGGACATTGCCTCTAAAGCATGAAACTATGCTATGAAGGAAAGGCCTCCAAGTCGCCGAAAAAAAACTCACTCCCGAGGGCAAGGCGCTCGGTCCAAAACGCACTCCTCAACGGGCTAATTGGGTGAAGGAGGAGGAGTCTCTCCTCTGCAGGCATTTTGGACATAGCATAATCTTCTAGTGATTTGATTACTTAATTGCCTCTTATTGCAAATTGCCTATTATTACTTAGCTCGACATTCAGCCTCAATCGCCCAAGTCGACCGAATGCCAGTCAGAGAATAATACGCTCGTAGAAATGAAATGACAATATGAAGAACGATTTTTAAAATTAATACAAATAATAATTTCTGACCCAAAAGCAGCCAAAACGAGAGAGTGCACCGCGAAAAGAAAGAATGAAGGCGAAGTCAATGGAAATGTTCATCGATAGGAGGCGTGGAATCGTGGAGGTCGATCGTGGAGGTCGCTTTCTGGTCTCACCCGTAGAAACGAAGGGAGGTGAGGGGAGGAGACGACGGGGAACTTCCCGCTAATGGATGTCATCTCCGACAGGCTTCATCCAAATAATTTTAAGCGTGTCGACAGCGTTTCATTCGGTTTCCGACGATGCTGGAACAGCGACTTGAGATCCCCATTGAGCCGGATTTCAGGCATCTCGAAAAACGTACGATGGAAAAATGCACCTGTATGGAGTGAATGAGTCGTAAAGTGCCCCATGGGTCCATCTCGGGGAAGATTTTTCGCGATCGAGCCCGATCCGCGTGCTGGCGAAATGGAAAAGCGAACCCTTAACGCGCTGCATTCCTCTACAGAGGGTGAAAGTAGGGTCTGTGTTGAAGGACAAAAAGGTCAAAGGGCTTCCGATTGGGCTGATGAGAGCAGGAATCGTTTCAAGAAAAGGGTGTCTACTCTGAAGGGCGTTATCAAAAGTATCTTTTAAAAATGTTGACAACCCTTTAGAGAGTATCTAGAGTAAATAACAAATGGATTAACGATTCGAGACAAAAGATATCCATGGATTTGGGTCAAAGCATCATGAATAATAAATTTTCATCTGATAGAAATACAAATTAGTGGTAATTACTATTCTGACAATTATGTGTGAGAACAGATAATAGATGGGACACCTGTGCAATTAAGAAATCCAGATGATATCCCTAAGGAGTCCCAAATCCCTATGGAGCGATTCTTGTCCCTGTTACTTGATGCTAATAGGCCTTCACTCTCCACATTAGGAATTAAGCCCCATTAGGCCCTTCATCCACTATGGAAGTGTTTGTCCAGCAAGACTCGGTGATCGTATCTTTCATCGCACCCGAACATCCTTGAAGGGAATCAGACGCAGCCTCAATCGTGAAATCGGGATATTACTTCATTCTTCCTATATGGAATGATGCCCTAATTTGAATCGTGCTTCCTCTACGATTAGCAACAGTCTGTTTGAACTGCTTAACATGTTTAGCAAATAATTTGAGAAATTCGAGTGTCTCCCCTTACTTTCTCTATGGGAACAAATCAATTACCGCATGAAAGGTACAGGAGTCTTAAATTAAAGAGTCGTTCCCTGATCATGAAACAGCGGCTACATAGGCGCCATCTCGCATCAACTGTGGGAAGCTTTTTGTTGCAATGGCGCCTTTATAGCCACCATCTCGCTTAATCTGTGGGAAGCTTTTCGTTCAAAGAACTGAGATAGATGTCTCATCCTGAGTCATGACAAATGTTGGCTGAGCGACAAATGCGAAAATGTGCTTTTGCGAAATGAAATTGAAAAATTGGCCTCACATGAGGGGGGGGTAGGAAATCCACAGAAATACTGAGTTTCGCTCTCCCGCCATCTTCAGGATGGACGAGGAGGCGAAAGTTAGCGCAGAACTCGTCAGGAGACGGAGGCATTCCTCATCGTGCTGCCTCCCACCAGCTGTGCTGAATAGATGGTTTCAAGCGTTCGTAATGAAATGCGAGGTGATCAGTGACTTTTTCGCCCATAGGTTCCGCAATTAAACCCCTTTTGTGGTTTCCATCTCTCAAAATGCACAATTGCAGAAATGATGCCACCTTCCGAACGACAGCAGAAGGTGGTAGCATCTTCCTCTGGGGCGCTTCCAAGTGAACCTGCAAATTGTTCAGCGGCGAAAGGGATGGGAGTTGATTTGTGGCAAGCATGGCAGTTCGTTTCTGAAAAATGGTGTATTGTTTTTCCGTATTGCATTTGCATCGGCAGATAGCAACAAAAAATACAGTAAACATACACTATACTAAATTAGCGACTTCGTTTGCGCTTCAGGCAAACTCCCTATTGACTCGCCTTCGACACGACACGACACAGGTGGCCCACCCAGGTTTTTAAATCCATATAGTGAATTTTACTTCACTCGTAAAATTGACACATGAGAAAACTGCAGTTTTAACACATGGGTGACGGGCCCCGAGAAATCTCGGTTTTACGCACGATGTCAAATAGTTCAATATATGGTCACGAGATGTCACAGTAATACCGAAAATGACGTCGTGCGTAAACCGAGATTTCTCGGGGCCTGTCACACATGTGTTAAGACAGTTTCTTTTGAAAATTTTCAACAGGCTATACTTTGTAAAACGAAGACATCGCACACTTTCTTCAGTGATAATAAGTAAATAAAAATATAATGTAAAAAATATGCAGAAATTACTTCAAAATTCATCTGGGTAACCCTAAATAATGTAAATTCGCAGTAAATAGAATTGCAGGAACGTCTTTATTTCGCCTTTCCACCCAGAACTCTCAAGTCTGCGAAGTTGCAAAGCATTTAAGTCCTCTGGGGTCACCAATAACGGCTGAATGCAAGATAGGCTTATTTGGAAGATCATCCATTGGGTTTAGGAATGGGATTCAAGTCTGTACATATCTTTACAGTTCAAGTATTCAAGAGTAACTAACAGGATTCCAAAGCATTAGCATCGGCAACAATGGAAAGAGGAAAGAGGGTAAGGAAAAATGGCGGTGAAGAAGAAGCGATGAGGCTCCAGAATGAGGTGAAGCCCAAAATGCGATGAGGCCCCGGAACCGATTGATGCTGATGCGTTTCGCGGTCGCTACCATGTAGTTAGAGGTAGCCGGCCCAGTAGCCAATATTGAAGAGCGCGAAGCAGACGGGGAAGGCGATGCGAGAGACGACGTCCACCCTGCTGGGTCGAGATTGGACTTTGTTGAGCCAGAGGGAGAGGCGACCCTTGGCGGCCACTTTGGACTCCTCCACCTCGAAGGGCACAGACTCGAGCTCGGTCTGGTCTCGGTCCCGCCGCACGCTCGACTTGGAGACGTGGCTCACAAGGACGGACTCCAGGAGTGCCAAGAACATGAAGGTGAGGCACATGCCCGTCCACACGTCGATGGCCTACGGAGGAGAGAGAATAGGGGAATCATTGGTGTAAGAGGTATACAATGGGATGCTGGCCGGAATGAGTGACGTATTCAAGTACTCTTTCAAGGAGAGGGTGAGGCAGACAGAGATTAGTAGCTTGAAAAGCCCAATGATGTGCATGCTTGCACTGCAAGCCTGCAGTTTATTTGCAATTATATTCTGGGCTTCACCACTTAGAAAGGCTTTTTGGATCCGGCTATGTTTAACCTCTTCAGACCCGATGGCAAAGTTGCATGCCAATTTTGAAATCCTTTGGCTCGTTGCCTAAGCTCCACCTCCGATGGTCAAAGCAAGAAACTCAATGTTTTTGTCCTTGATAATGGAGGAATAGAATGGGATGTGTATATACCAACGGCTTTTCCTCCATAGAGGCGCGCCATTGACAACATGCATTGTTTGACCGTAAAAGAAGCTTATGGAAGCCAGTCATCAAGGATAGTATTCGAAAATGTTTCTAGGCCTTGTCACTGTCAATGCACCAAAAATAGTAGCAATTAGGCTAGATGGTATTTCGAAAATACGGAAGCACCGCGGAACCCCACAATCCATACCACTCTCGCGAAGGAGTGGTCATTAATCCTCTGGGCTCTCCGTACTCACTTTTTCAAATACCTGGTATGTGAACAGCACCGCAAGAAATGGTTAATTTGGGTGGTGAATGAAGCGGGAGGCACTGCCTTCGATAATGTACCTGAAACAATCAGTAAGTGGGGGTTCGTCCCCCCCCCCCTCCCCGGATCCGTCACTGTTCATATCATCGTCTCCTTTCTGGTCTTTCCCTTTCGATTTCGCTAGCCTGGTGCTGGAAGGGCTTCAACACATGTTAAGTACATCAATGCTACTGCATTCAAACTGATGAAGGAGTTCCGTGTATTTGGACCCTGAGAAAAAAATTTGCATGCGCAATGCCTCGTGGCACGTGTACATCCCATCTATGTTTTGACCTATCCCATGAGAACTCTATGATAAGTCAGATATCCCTTTATTTATAAATAGTTTCCCACACTATTTGGCAATGCAGTTCAACATGTATAATAATTGTAGGCCCAATATTGAGCAATCGACGACGGCTTTTATGATCACAAACGACGTGAGTGGCCATATTCAAAGAAGCACCAAGTCCACAAGTCCCTGCTGTAATGCAAATTTAGTCCAATAAGGCGAATGGATTTTTTTCGGGAACTCTCTTTAATTCTTCTATGGCTTACAGTGTGATCCATGCCATTGAAGCAAATTCAGCAGGGGTTTCAACATTCTAATATTTGGCATGTGAACATGCCAAATATGGGGTCTGAAGAGGTTAAGAGTGAAATAAGAAACATTTAGAGAGAGCCGTTAGAGCTAAGAAGGGAGGCACCAGGCACCGAGTATCATCACGTACTTCCACGGTTTCCAATGAGGTCTTCAATGCTTTCCCTACCATCATAAGTTGGTCATTCTATGCGTGGTACTTCGTGTCGAGGTTTGGGAAAACTTTTAGTGATGAAATATGTGCGTTATTGGCACGAATTCTATTGCAACTGTAATTCCAGCCGTGTATGCAAAGTTATATGCAAATATAACTTTGCATACACGGCATATAAAAAATAGTCATATGCAAAGTTAGCCAACGAAAAGTTTCTTATATTCAAGAATGGCCCCCACACGCTCTATAAGGTTATACCGCTGGATTTATTTTCTCGTGAATATCGAAAACTGTTCACATCGAACGCCACGAAATTTTCCTTTGTGGGTATTGACAAAGGGTTAGGGTTGACCATTGGTGGGTGAAACCCCTTACGGAACTTCCAAATACAGGCGTATGTATAGGATTGTACAGTACTGAATTTAGCCTTGTTTGGAAATAGTTCAGTCCGTATCAAGTTTTGGCCATTCTTAATAAATATGGAACTATATATGGTTCATATATAGACCCCAAATATGGTGCTAGGTTTACAATGTATATGATACTAATATAAACTATACGGAAAAAATACTGTATTTGGAATATATTTGGAAACTGTTCAGCCCATTTACTGTCCATGAATACACACGCATGCACGTTGAGCCCTTCCATATGGCCTGACATCTTGCAGTTCGTTCAAGAAATAAAAAGTTCTCACAATATGAGCGAGGTCGCGCTCATCCCGCCGATTTATGTCTCCCGATTCCTCAAATGCTAATGAATGATTCTGCAGAAGCTTTCACCTTCAACTCGATAATTTACCACTTACAAACCGAAGGAAGGAAGTCGTTCTAATAAATTAATATGTTGAGAGACGTAACCTAACTTCAGGAGGCTCTAGGCAATTCTTGCCCGATGCATAGAAGGAGTGAGGTTCCCCTTGTGACGTGAGTCACAAAAACCTATCTTGAGTTTCTTTGTCGAGTGACTGCCTCTGAGCCTCTGCTTCAATCTCCAATTAATAATGCATGCGGGGGCCATCTATTAATATATTGCAGATTAAGAATATATAGTTTCATACATCCATTATATTAAATATGACCAAAACATGCCAAATATATATAAGTGCCATGTACATTGTAACTAAGCACCCCTGTATGGCCATATTTGATAATTCGCACGAAATCTGAATATGGAGTTCCCGTAAGGGACCCCTCATTGTGCTCTTCTGCTCAAATCTTTTTAAATTAGAAGAAAAGGAGGTATGTAGAAAAATGACAAAATATAGCGAAAGGAAGTAAATACACCTCCACTTACCATCGTGTACGATACAGACGGAAGCGAAGCACTGTTGAAACTGCACTGCACAGCCATCGTGAGCAAAACGATGACCCCCAGTCCCACCCTCCCAACCGCCGCCTTCCGATCCAACCAAAAGGGCAGCCAGCTCACGATCACCATCATGCAAGACGGGATGTAGACGTGTTTCAGGTAGTAGTTGAGATCACGCTCAAACATCATGTCCAATAGCAGGCAGCTGTATTCTCCTGTGGAAATGCGCAGGTTTAATGTCGACCTAAAAAAAATGGAGCTTTACGATGGATCTGCAGTGTCCATATTTTACCCTTTGCTGCGGAGGGGCCATCGGCGCTCTACGATCAAGAATATTACTAATGTGTTCAACGGATCCGTTTTCAATGCTCCCACATCCAACTATATGGTCGAACTCCTCGGATCATAGGTACTTTTCATTGTGCCTTCAAGTTGCATCTAGCAGTGAATGTTTGGAAAACAACATAAAATATAATTAAAGTTACTGCTTTGGAGGGTTTTGCTGTTTCAAAAAAACATCTGGCGAACCCACCTAACAAAGTATACCCACTGAGCATATTCCAAAGAAGCAGAATCGTTCCTAAAATGATCAGCTCATCATTACTATGCCATGCTTCAGTTTTCTGCGACTGTCCGATTCGCTGAAGGGGAAAACTCAAAAACATTCCCGCAGAAAACGTTGTGCGGTGAAGGAATGACCTCAAAAATAGGGCTTTACTTGAAATCACCTTTCCTAATTAATAATTTCCACAATTTCAGCTTTCTTTACGTTTTCGTTCAACTGGGAAAGAAATTCTTGGAAAATGTATCCGCGAAAATGTAAGCCCTACGCCGAAAATTATGATTTTTCGTAATGTCTACATAATAATGGGAACCTATATAATAAAATCAGCTTGGACATCACTCCGTTTCTTCAGGGCAAAGACATTTCTTGAAATAATTACCACTCACAGAAAAATGTACCTTGCATCGATGAAATTGGAAAATTTTTCTGTGGTTTAATATCACAAGAACTACAGGATCAGCCACGTTTAAATTTGTATGATAGCAAGTCGCCATGGAGTAGAAATGTTTTCATACAAATTTTCATCTTTTCGGGTCTGCAGGGTTTCTCTCGGTGGCTTCATATGAAGGCATCGACCAGTGAACGAACTCATCTTTGGCCTTATAGGCTATGAGGACTTTTTCTTAATAACTTTTTTTTTCAATTTCCTACAGCATTATTGTCATGCCAGTGATGATGATTATTCCCAATTTTTCCTCTCCAGGATAGACTCTCTCACGTCTCACACTGTCATCAGAGGGCGTGAATAGGGTGGATCCAAAGTTGCTTTTCACGAAAGAGCACATGGAGCCCACGGAAGGGAAATCCCGTCAAAATAAAATAAATTAAGTGATCATTCAACTCACCGGTACTCGTCTTACTATTGCAGTAGTCAGTGTAGAACTTCTCAAGGGTGAATCTCTCGAGGTGGAGGTTTCTCACGATCTGGACCGGGTCGACATCCTTCCACAGAAACACCAGGTCCTCGGTCGTCCATCCGTCTGGAATGGCAGAGCCATTCAACGAATGAATTTATTTTTGACAACCGTTTATTCACTTTTTTTCCTTGGTAGATGTGGAGTTCAGTATATTACTTAGTGAAATACCAAGGCAGTACCATTTTAGGTCACCCAACCTCGTTTTGAATGGCTGGGAACCTAAATCGCTTTTTCCCCTTGGCTTGAAAAAACCTTCCCTTGAAACCCTGAAGGACGTTCACCGTGCTAAAAGAGAAACTACCGAGGAAGTATGGGTGTATTCCTCCTAGTCATTTTCAGTTTTTTAGTGCCTAAAGGTTCGATGTTGAAAGTGAACATGTTTTCCAAAATATCTGTGCGGTGAATGCTGAAGACAGACATCGTCTTCCTCACAGGGAATGTGCTACGTCGCAAATCCACATTCGAGAACTTTTTCCTCTAAATATTATTTGCATGATGACCTGTTTTATTCAAAAATAAGGCGTGCTTTTCAAGAATATCAGGTTTAGAGATACAGAACTCCAACCTCGTTCTGTCTCCTTTATGCCATCGATGCATGTAACTCAGTAACTCCATTTCTGGAGACTTTTGCATCTCCATATTCAGAAAAATTCTACGAACTCACTCGTGGAACGAAAGGATGAGGTAGCAAAAGTGGATGAGACCAAACGAATGCATATGGTGTCTACACGACCCACCTACCCGCACGCTCCAATAACCGAGTGGACACGAAGAGAGTGGAAAGGAAAGGAGATAGATCAGAGAAACTGCGTTGCGGCCATCCATTCATTTCCATTGAATTATTTCATTCATTCTCACTTCATTCACTTATTCGTTTCTACTTCATTCTTCTGATGTGGATAGAAAGGGAGTACAACTCACAGCTGGCGATCCGGATCTGGCACGATTGCCTGTCCATGGGGAAGAGCTTCATGCTCATCGGACAGCTCAAAGTCAGTGATACCCTGTCAAGTGGAAAAAAATGTACACAGACTGAAGTCATCCTCAATGGAAGACGAGGCTGATTTGCGGTAAAACGGTTGTTCTTCACATATTAAACTAAAAGCCCTTTTTCGCCCACGTGTGCCTAGGGCTGGACTGCTTCGATTGCTATTGTCTACATGCTTTTTGGACATGATATACATATGATATGTCTCGGTTATACTAAATGGTTAACGTCATTCTTTAGATAACCCAGTTCCCTGCCCAACAAAGTATTGTTTGCTTGAAAAAAGACAAACTTTTTCATATGAAACTCGTTCAAACCCTCCAAAGAAGCTCTATACTTTGATGATAGCCTGGCTGAGCTTTAAAATTTTTATTTGTATGATTTACTGAAGGTAATATATATTTAGAAATTTTCCTTCGTTTCGGTTCATCGAGTCACATTGAAATGAGCATCCAAATTTTTCTTCACCATTGTAATGGAGATTCCAACATGAGTAGAATAGATTTATAGAGCTGCTATACCGCCCCATTTTACTCCGTCAGTCTGACCCTGCCTTCCCCGCACCAGCAATGACTACGATTAAGCCACTGCCAAAAAAGTGAGTGAGTTATGCAACAAAGTATGGCTTCATATAATGGTTCACATTTTCACCTTCAACTAAAATAAATTTCGGACGCTTCCGAAGTTTCCATGTTACTTTGTTTCGCACGTCAAAACTCGAAACAAAATAGGTAAATTCTAAGTCTTCTTATGTTGCTCCAAGAGTGCTTACAAACTATCAATACTTTGCATAACGCAATACAAAATACAGTAAATATCTTATAGATACGCGATAGGGTTTGGCTAAAAGTGCGAGTTTCCCCTTTTGCACCACGCCCCATTCCGCCCCAAATTCCCCTATATGTCTTTAGATGATGATTCATTATGAGTGATTCATATTTTTTTATTGATTTGCGCGTATTTTCTTCTCTTTCCTGAGATTATGAGTGTGAAAAAATGTGATGTGACAACATTACTTTCGATACATTTGCGATTTATACGTAGAAGATCCGCGAAGATGGCTCTGCATGGTTTAACCTTGGCCGCCTATTTTCCAAGACACCAGGGTTTTAAGAAATCAATCCTTCCACGAAACGAAATTCACGGGGGATATGGGTTGACCCAATGAAGAACTCGAACTTCATTTGGAAGCCGAATGAACCTGCCATCTCACCTGGTGCTGTAGAGTATCTTTCCATCGGGGAAAATCCTCACTAAGACGTTCGGGACCATGATGTTGTGCGTCTTCCCTTCGATCTCGTTCTGGAAGAAGGTATCTGGCATCCACAGCGTACTCGGGTCCCTCAGGGACAGTTGCTTAAGTTTCCCTGCAACGCCCAACATAATTTTATGTTGATATTTGTGACTGTTGCTGGTGATTATTTGTACTGTGCCGATAATCCGCGTCATCCATCAAAATGAGCCATTACCTCCCAGGTCGTCGAATTTGAGCCTGTCGTCACTCCATTGCTGTCGGAAGGTCAGCTGCACCTTATATTGCTGCAAGAAGCACACAATATTCCTTTATTTCAGAAATTATCCAGGACGAACGAGCAAGATATTCCTCGTTGGATCGGATTTTGAGAGTTTCAATGTTTCATCTGCAAGTAAATGTTTACTGTAGTTCTTGGTTAGTTCTCAAGTTCTTCTCTGCAAAATTATGTCCAATGTTTGATCACCCCTCGATGATCTGGGTGCTACGATGAGGCATGACTCGACTTCTTCACGGGTAATTGCCGAAAAGGGTCCTCATTAACAATCAGTCATTTATTATTAGCCATTAGTCATCAGTCATTATCAGGCATCACACATCAAGCAACTTTCATTCATTAGCTATTAACCATTGGCCATCAGTAAATAACTCGTCTGTCAAGATTACAATGCTATTACCAACTTTCAACAAATAAACTGTTTATAGCATTAAATTCCTGCAAAAAGTAACTCACCATGCGTTTATCGTCCAATCCCTGAATACTTCTAATGAAGAAGTTGACGTATACAGTCGTTGGGCCATCTGTGGACAGAAAAACAACACGATTATTTGCTCAAGCCCCGGGTCATTCTGATCTCAAACAAGGAATTATTGATGAATAAAACAACATATTATAATAAATGTTAATATGTAATTAATAATAAAACAAGCGCATGCCAATCAATCATCTCTACGTTCGTGCAGTAACAAAATATATATCCAATATGCAATTTAGAAGTAATCTAAGGTTTTGCAATACACAAATCAGAGAGGCTGCTAAAAAAGTATTGCGCTGACATCGAATGTTGTATTGGCTTTCGAGACTTTTGCTGACCCTGTCCAGGTAAATATTGTCCGTTTTTGCATGGTGCAACCCTGTATGACCCTTTTATGACGTACTGTTCATATTTTCAAAGTTAGGTTCTTTTTTTTCCCACTTTCTACATTGTCGCTCATTTCAAGATTTATGCAACATTACATCTCGTTCCGAACAATTCCGTTGAAATTCAAGTGATGGGAAAAACCCGCTTTGCCACAGAAGAAATGCTATTCCGCTTTCGAAACAAGAAACGTGCCCCCTTTTCATGTTTTTCGTGCGAAATATTTTAGGCAGGTACTTCTGGGGAGTCTAATAGGGACTTGACATTGTCTGCTTTAAGCCTTCATGGACGCCAGGACGTGCCGGTCCTACTTGGACACTATTTAAGAAGTTAATATTTGCAGTACGTCAGGACGAAAAATGAAATTCCAGCGAAACCTTGTCTCGTGATTTTTTTTTGCATGGGATTGCTTCCACAAATAGTAAAAAATATTACAATTCAATTCTCAAACTTTCAGTTGGTCACCTAAAGGCATATAAATTGTTTCTCATTCCTTTTGGGGAGGAACTTTCGGCAATCGCTGATCCCTCGTAGCCTTGTCCTGCTGCCCCACGTTGGGCCAACGTCAAATGCCGACGTGCGACATGATATTCAGGCGATTAAAGGAGGTTTCGATTGAGATTCTATATTGATACATACCCCGGCAGCACACAACGTTGGGCCATCATTGGCTGCGAGCGCGGGAGCGTGGGCCCACATCACAGTGGGCTGCCCATGTAGGCCCCACATTAGCGCCAGGGCGGCAGCCAACAATTGTCATGACTCGGGACCCCGGCGGCACACCTACGTTGGACCAACGTTGGCCTAAGCTGGAATTCAACATTTGCAATGTGGGCCCAACATTGGTTTCCAACGTCGATTCCTCCCCCAGTAGCACCAGATATTGGCCCAATGCTGGACCGACATTGGGTACGTTGGCTGTATCTTGGGCAATATTGCCAATATTGGGTGAATGTTGGGGAAACAATGAAATTCCGATATTGCTATATCATTATTCATTCATTATTGGACCGATGCAGTGATCCAATGTGCACGACCGCACTTGAAGTTATCCTTCTGGCCACTAGATGGAGGAATAGGTCTCACTTTTCTCATAGTACACAGAAGTATTATTCCCTCTTTCCCTGTAATCGTCCTTCACAGGAGTGTTTAGTAGCTCGCTATATGTCTCGCCTAGTCTCATTATAGCAATCAATAAAGTCGGACAATTCATCATTTGTTATCCGCATATTCGAGACAGAATCATGGAGTACAGGAAATAATCAAGCTCATATTCCCTATGAGAGCCCCTACGAACGCTCTCTTCTTCTGAGGATTCCGTGGATGTAATGAAAAAACGACGGATTAAAATCACAATTGCTACGTAGTTAACCTTCTCCTGAAATGTACTACAATTTTTACGTTCAGGGACAGTCAACCTCTATACTGTTCTATGTCTCCTGCTTATGCAAGGGAGAGACTTGTGCATGGGCAAGGGGTTATACTGGTATAGGCTGTATTAGTGATAGTGCATCGTGAAACGCCTTCACCATTGGAATGCCTCTACTAGGAAAAATAATTAGGGAAAATATTAACGCCAATATTTGTCCGATGGTTTTCCGTGTAGTAATGCCAACAATGGTCCAAGATGGGTGCCAATGCAGAGCCAAGATGTATACATCTTGGCGGATCTTGGCGGTATATATTTACCCAATATTGGGGTGCTACTGGGGTCGTGGGCTTGTCCCGCGGCCCCACGTTGGCCCAACGTCAAATGTTGACGTGCGCCATGACATTCAGGGGATTAAAGGAGTTTTCGATTGAGATTGAATTTCCATGCGCAATTGTTCAGCTCCCCTACCGGGGACCTTGCCACCGAGTCTCTCTCGGTCTGACTGGGCGTACTCCAGCGAATAGTACTTCCTTCAATTGTCATCTTTTAAGGCCTTCACTTTCCATAACAGGATTTGAGCACCATTAGGTCCCTCATCCACTATGGAAGTGCTCGTCCGGCAAGACTCGGATGATCACATCCTTAATCACACCCAAACTTCCGCTAGAGAAACTCGACGCAGCCTCTGCAATCTAAGAAAATTGACGCGTTTTATCCTCCCTATATTGAGTGAAACCCCAATTTGAATCTTGCTTCCTCCACGATTAACAAGAGTCTCTTTGGACTGCTTAACCTGTTTATACAAATGAATTTAGAAATTCGAGAGTCTTCCTTTACGTTCTCTCTGGAAATGAATGAAGTACCGCAAGAAAGTTACTGGGGTCTTAAATTATGATCACTCACTGATCCCACTGAAAAAGCGACTGCATAGTTGCCATCTCGCATCAACTGTGGGAAGCTTTTTTCATATAACTGAAATAGATGTCTAAAATCCTGAGTCATGACAATTGTTGGCTGCCGCCTAACGCCTACGTGGCGCCAATACGGGCAGACCACTGCGATGTGAGGACACTTTTCCCCACTAGCAGTCAATGTGGGGCCAACATTGGCAAGCCCACTGCGATGTTGGCCCACTTTTTGCCACTCGAAGCTAATGTGGGCCCAATGTATTATGTTGCCTGGGTTCATCTGTATGGAAGCGCTTGTCCGGCAATGCTCGGATGATCACATCTTTCATCACACCTGAATCTAACCCTTGAAGGGGAGACAGACGCGGCCTCCACAATTTCAGGAACCCGATTTCTTTCACCCTCACTCTGTTGAGTGATGCCCGGATGTGAACCATGCCTCCTCCACGATTAACAGGAGTCTCCTTGGACTGCCTAACCTGCTTATACAAATGAATTTAGATATTCGAGAGTCTTCCCTTAAGTACTCTTTGGGAAAAGATCAAGTCCCGCATGAAAGGTACTGAGGTGTTGAATTAATGCGCAACTCCCTGATCCCACTGAAATAGCGGCTGCCTGGGCACCGTCTCGCATCAACTGTGGGAAGCTTTTTGTTCAATAACAGAGATTGATGTCTCATCCTGAGTCATGATAAATGTTGGCTGCCGCCCTAGCACCGATGTGGGGCCTACTTTGGCAGCCACTGCGGTGTGGGCCCACGCTGCCCCACTCGCAGCCAACGTTTACCAGACAATGTGTGCTGACGGGGTCTTTTTCTTGAGTGCGGCGTTCAAAAAGCAACGAGAGGGAAATATATATAAAATTAGAGGTGTATGTTGAGACTGGACAGCCAATTGATAACGTCCGGGGTTGCTTGGTGGATTTATTGAGTCCTTCCGGGAAATACGTGAATCGGACAGTGGTCGGCGATGTGGCTCATGGTCTGTACTTCGCTGCATTCGCAATTTGGTGAATCCATGATATCCCATTTATGTAGTAAGTAGCCTCATCTGCCGTGCGTTATCCGAATACGGTTGAGGGCTGTCCAGTGTCTCCTCTTTATATGTAAGCTTGGGAGCTCCACGGTGGGATCTTTGATTAGGATCTTGTTTGGCACGGCTGCTGCAGATCACTGTTCGCGCCATCGGCAGTCGGCGTCCATTCCACTTGATGACAAGGCGGTGGCGTGGATCCGAAAGGGGTTTCTGGACTCGAGGAGCAGTGTTGGGGGCCGGGATATGTCCTGGTGTATCGGGAGGTCACGATCGACCATTATATTTTCGTACTCTAGTAGTACGGCCGTTTCTCTTCTGATACCGGGAGGAGAGATGTTTGACAACACCGGTAGCCAGGCGAGCGGAGTGGACATCAGGGCTCCACTAACCAATCTCATAGCGGCGTTGATTTGTGTGTCGACTCGCCGGGTGTGTGGGCTTTTGCTCCATACGGGCGCGTAATACTCCGCCGTCGAGTGTGCCATGATGTTCCGCCAAGTTTCTGGATGATGTTTACCCTCGAACCCGTCTCCTTTCCAGTGCTTTCGAGGTGTTGGCGGTAGCTGAGGGTCCTCTCCAGGGTAACCCCGAGGTATCGCGGGTTATTGTCGTGCGCCAGCGGCCTTCCACAAAATTTCACTTCCCACTATGAAACTGTTTCCTTCGGTAGGACCCTTGCGTGATTCTCGCTTTTATCACACCCGAATTTACAACCAGACGAATTCCCCACAATCGAAAGGAACCGATGATCTGTATCCCTATCCCATGCAGTGGAGCCCCAATTTGAACCACGCCTCTTTCATTATTAACAGGGGTCTCCTTGGGCTGCTTAACCTGTTTAGAGAAATGCATTGAGAAATTGTTATTCTCCAACGTTCTCCTTGTTCGAAAATTGTTCAAAAATTGGGATTCATTGTTCGAAGTAGCCCTGAGGCGATGGAGCTTCAAATTTGCTGGAGCAATTCTGTGTTGAGAGGGTGCTCATTCCCTCGTGTACGAGCGGTTGGCGTTCCCGAGAAAAAGTTGTGCCCCCGATCTTTTCGTGACCAGAGACTTCGAAACAGAAACAGGAAAAGGGAAATGTATGCGTTGAAGGAAAACTCTACTGGTACAACAAACCCCATACGGGGCTCGAATCTCATTCTCATGGTGACCTTGACATCCTCGAGTGGGGTATTGTGGAGAGGAGGCATTCTGGGGGCCGTAACTAGAAGAGTCTTATTTATTATGACGCTATTATGCTGTTATTAGGAGGTTAGAGGATATTTATTAGCGTAACTAGAATGCAAACTATTGGACTCATAACGTCCGGTTAGCTAGGGATATAATATCACCCTAATAGGCCATTTAAACAGCCTTTTAAAATCTGTCGTGGCTGTTCCTAAATATTTTTTCTGAGAAAAACACTTAATCACGTCAGAATTTGACAATTTTATTGGAAGCGTCTCACAACAGTAGCGTCTCTAAATGCCTTGGCATTACATGATGCAGGTGCATCTGAGCTTCCCAAGTCAGCATCATCAGCGACGGTAGCATCTTCCGACTCAATGTCAGGGTCTGGAACTCCGGCTCTTCTGCACATGTGGAGTATCGCACAAGCCACAATTATTTTGCAGCATTTTTCAGGTGCTACTTGCAACGATCCGCATGACTTGAGCAGACACCTGAATCTCGCCTTCCAAACCCCAAAACAACGTTGAATTATGCATATT